AAATTGAGGGGATTCAGATTTTAGGAAAGTGCAAGCTCCCGCGAAGCCAGAAAAAATAGGGGAGAGTGGGGTAAGATGAGCCAGTGGGTAAGTTGACCCACCCCTTGTATCTAGGTAACCGTTCACATGTTTTGTCATGTGACCATAAATACAGGAAGCACCAATCATTTCCATCTTGCTGCGATAAAGACAAGCACATGGGAGAAGGGGTAAGTACTTTTTTTTTTTTACACAAGAAACAGTTTTTTGTTTGTTTAAGTAAATTTACAGCATATCAGGTAAAATGACTGTTATATCAAAGCAAATTTATCTGGGTCTAAAATTATATATTATACTTTTCTTACGTATACAATCATGTGAATCACTTCACTAAAGATTAACCTGAATTTCTAAGCTAGCCCTTTTTTTCCAAAATGGTGGGGCAAAGTGAGCCAAAGGCTATGGGGTAAATTGAGCAAATGGTTCAACTTACCCCACCACAAGGCAAGCACTCTCAGACGTATAAAATAGTATTTCTTTGAGTATACTCAACTGGTTTGTCAAATGTTTACCATTGTAGAACAGGGATCATGCCAAGAACCTACAAGAGAAAAACAAACTGGGGCTCAACACCCCTTGAAGCGCTGGAAAAAGCAGCCAATGATGTCAAGGCTGGAAAGTCCATCAGATCAGTGGCAAAAGAGAGAAATATTGACAGGTCAACATTGAGGAGATGCATAAAGAAGAGGGAGGTAAAGGAAGTAAAAGCAGCAGGGTACAGTGGAACAGCAGAAGCAAGGAGAGTTTTTTCAGAGGAGATGGAGAAGGAGCTAGCAGACCATATCAAGCAGCTCGCAGACCAGTTCCATGGCCTTACACCAAAGAAATGCCGGGAACTGTCATTAGAATTGGCAATCAGAAACAACATTCCAACCATGCTGGATATGTGTCTTCTAATGACATTCTACCCATACCCAAAAGTCAGAACCCCCGGAAAACAAACAAACCGAAAGCGTGTGAAGACAAGAATCCTGACTGATACACCTGAAAAGCAGGCAATCGAAAGTGCCCATAAAGAAAGGCAAAATAAACAGAAAGGCAAAACAGAAAGAACCATAAAAGAGAAAGGAATGCTGAAGAGGGAACAAACCCAGAAGAAAATCGCAGTAAAAATCAGCTCTGAGGAGAGTGATGTTGCCATCCCATTTGAAGACACTTCTGAGCACGAGAGTTCCAGCGATGAAAGAAGTGAACCAGATGTCTCAGATCTGGTAGTTGGTGACTTTGTCATCATAAAATTTGCATCCTAATGCAGAAGCCACCATTACATTGGCTTGGTTGACAGCCTTGCAGGCAACGAAGTGAGTGCCAGATTTCTGAGAAGAATCCGAGGGATCACTGGCAGTAAGAAACCCACCCTTGCATTCAAAGAAAATGATGAGGCATCTTTCCCACGGAGTGATGTGCTGAAGAAGCTACCTCAACCTCAAAAGCTTGGAGGAACTGCAAGGAGGGAGCAACAGTTCATGATCCTCTGCAACCTTGACAGTTGGAATATTTAATAGTTCTTTAGATGAAATGGTTTTGAAACTAACTGGTGGTTTGTTCTCAGAAGTTAAAAACTTTTCAAACTATTTGCTAGCACAATATGCTCATGTTTACATTTTAAAACCTAGAGGGTCAGTTTACCCCAAGATGGCTCAATTTACCCACTTACTTGGTTCAACTTACCCCTAACCTGGGGCAAGTTGAGCCACAGGAGCACTTTTTTTTTAGAAGTCATTATTTTGGGCAGCTTTGTCAGAGATGCATTCTGATAATTTCATTTGATAGGAGACATCCTAAAATAAAATAATATGTTTTCATTCTATTTCTGTGTCATTTTTCCTTACATCCAGAACAACATAAGTAAAAAATGGCTCATCTTACCCCACTCTCCCCTATACGAAAAAATGGACAAGATGTGTACGCTATGGGTTCTGAAATGTATTAGAATAAAAGTATGCCAAAGAGAATTAGAGCAGGCTTGGTAAATTAAAACTAAGTATTAAACAAGCCCACACACCTATAAATGTTTGCAGAAAGACACACTCAATGCATTACAATGCTAATATATTTACAAAAAACAAACAAAACAACATAACTAAACTATGAAAAAACTCAATTAAGACAAACAAAAGATAAATACACTGGGAGAAAGATGAGGAGCATCATCACATCGTCAAATTTAAGGCCACCAATTTACAACACAGCAAAAAACTCATGTGAATGATGGGAGAAATTCACAGGGGAATAAATCAATCCAATGTCACACACAGTTTAGTTTAACCTTTTCCAACAGTTTGCAATATCACTATAAATTGCTGATGTTATGATTAATTAAGTATGCTTGGTATGTTTGTATAAAGGTGTGGACACAGCCATGAGTGACTCTGAGGGAAAAGAAGAACCCTCCAACAAGCCTCAGGATGGAGACCATGATGGAAAAAATGTTAAGAAGTAAGAGGCACAGTTCTAAATAAAACTGGACAAAAGAATGAACAGGCAGTTGTTAATACTGCATGTATTATACTCATGAAACCATATTGCAGGAGTTGAACACATTTTTCAAAGATGTTATGTTACTCTGCCTAACATTAGCATTGAGAGGAAGGCGATGCATTAAAATCTTCAGTTTCTAAACGAAGGAAAATAACCAAATGAACCCGTTTTCTGTCTGTTTCTTGCAGAAGACCAACACCTCTGATTACTGGTGAGAGGACACCACCAAAGTCTGTGTCTGGTTTATCCTTAAAAAGTAATGCATCCATGGATCCTCCTTTGTTATTCAAACAGGATTCTTCTCATTCAATGTAAGTCTAAATTTAACTTGATCCTCAGTTTCTAAAATAAAGAAAATAGCCAAATGAACCCGTTTTCTGTATGTTTCCTGCAGAAGAC